TAGCCATCTGTACATTTTCTTTGGAAAAAATGTTTTTTCATGTCTTCTGCCCATTTTTTAACTGGATTATTTGTTTTTTGGCATGTTGATTTTGATAAGTTCTTTATATGTTTTGGTTACTAACCCTTTATCAGATATGTCATTTGCAAATATCTTCTCCCATTCTGTAGGTTGCCTTTTAGTTTTGTTGATTGGTTTCTTCACTGTGCAGAAGCTTTTTTTTTTAATGAGGTCTCAATAGTTTATTTTTGCTTTTGTTTCCCTTGCCTATGGAGACATATTTAGAAAGAAGTTGCTATGGCTGATGTCAAAGAGGTTACCACCTAGAATTTTGATGGTTTCTGGTCTCACATTTAGGTCTTTCATCCATTTTGAATTTATTTTTGTGTGTGGTGTATCAAAGTGGTCCAGTTTCATTATTTTGCATGTTGCTGTCCATTTTTCCCAGCACCATTTGTTGAAGGCTATCTAAGATATACATGTGTGTATGTGTGTATGTATATATATATATTTTTTTAAATTTTTTTGATGTTTATTTATTTTTGAGAGAGAGAGTTAGAGAGAGAGAGAGAGAGAGCGAGCAGGGGAGGGGCAGAAAGAGAGGGAGACACAGAATCTGAAGCAGGCTCCAGGCTTCAAGCCATTATCACAGAGCCTGACGCGAGGCTCAAACCCATGACCTATGAGTTCATGACCTGAGCCAAAGGTGGATGCTCAACCTACTGAGCCACCCAGGTGCCTCTAAGATATATTTTTAAGTGAAAAGACAAGGTGCAGGCAGTAAGTATGATATGATACAATCTGTGTAAAAGAAGGTGGTGAAAGGCTTATATGCTTGTTTTTGTTTGCATACACATTAACAAACTCTAGAAAGGTATGCCTGAAACCAGTAACAGTGAATTCTTGTGGTCATAGGGGAGGGTAAAAACTGGGTAGTTGGGCCAGAGGAGTGGGAAGAAGTTTTTTCAGTGAATAACTTTTTGTATTTTTTGATTTTTGAATTATGTATTTTGCCTGCTCAAAGAATTAAACAAAAGAAGAAAAGAAAAAGTTGAATTAGATTGGCTCTTAGTGAAAAATGCCTGCCAGCTAGATAAAAACTCTTCCTTCTTTTTGTCTTTCTTTTTCTTTGTGTTTTAGTTAGTGTAAGAAGTGGCAGAATACTGAGACAAATAGAAATAAGCAAAAATTAAAACAGTAAAAATGGGCAAATTATCCCGGGGTTTGTCCAGACTAAGTAGAGAAAAAATTGAGACATACTGAATTATGGATTCATTTCTTTATAGGATAGCTAAATTGGGTTTGTGTTGGTAGATGAAAGAATGGAAGACAAGGAATATCAACATGAATTATTTATTAGATATAAGTGCCTGTTGTTAGTAAGTATGCTGTTACTGCTCAGGGGTCTGTGGAAAAAAATGTTTCACTTTTCAGAATATAAATTAGATGACCCTTTCGCATTTCCATTTTATGTATGATTTGTGATAAAACCTTTTTCTTTGTCAAAGGAGACTTCCCTTTGATAGATACATGAAAGACATTTGAATTATTTAAAATATGGAATTTATTTTTGCTCCTTTTGAATACATTGTAAAAAAAAGTTCAAATTGTATAAAACAGAATACAATGGGCGATGAGTCTCTTCCTTCCCACAGATCCCTACACCCTTCTTTATAGAGTTTCTCAAATGGGCATTAAATAGTTGAACCCTCTTTCTTATTTATTTTCTACCTGAAACTCTTTACAGACATGTCCTTTAGTAATGTTCAAATTTCCTAGGTTGCAATATTTATGAAACTTTAGGATCTGGATCTTTTACCTCAAACTCTAAATATTTGGGGATTTTCCTAGATATTTTATTGTTGATGATCTCTCATTTAATCATACTTTGTATGATTCAGCCTTCTCAAATTTATTGAGACTTCTTCTAAGGCTCAGCATATAGTCTAACTTGGTGAATAGTCCATGTGCATTTGAAACGAATTTATAATTTGCTATTGTTGGGTGCAGTGTTCTATGCATGTAAATTAGGGCGTTTAGGCTGATAGTGTTATTATTTTTTTTTTTTAATTTTTTTTTTT